TGGGACTGAGACATCTTCGTGGATTTTTGAGCCAACGAAGGTAATGCTGGGAAGAGGCAGGGTCTGTAGGAACCGAACAGTCCCAGTGCGAATGGAGCAGAAATAAGCTCACTCACCTCTAACGCCGCCTGAGGGTCCTCGTCGATCAGAGCATCTGAAAAGCTCTGGAAAAACCTGCCAGGAAAACAACGACTTCAGCAGGGCTCACTAACCAAGGAAAGAAAAGCAAGACAAACAGCAAAGGTGAAGAAAATCACGCACCGCTGGGACGTTGCAGGTCCTGCTGCAGCTGCCGCCATCCTTAAGAGCCACTAAAGCTTCTGCCCGAGCGTTTTCTACCTTGGTTACCAGCCCCGCCGCCGCCCAGGGGGGGAAACTTCTGAAGAAACACCAACAGAGCTTCCGTCCCCGGCAGCCAATCAGCAGTCGCGCAGCACGCGGCCGCGGAAAAGGAGGCGAAGGGCGGGCAGGAGGGCGCGGGGCCCGCTGGGAAAGAGGAGGAAACGCTCTCCGGCCCCGCCCTCTCCCCGTGACGCGCGCAAGGTCCCGCCCCGAGGGCGTGGCCCTGGGGCCTGGCGCTCCCGCACGGCTTGCGGGTTTTCCGACATTGGCTCAGAGCCCCGCCGGAAGGTTCCGGGATGGTTCGGGGGGAGCTCGCGCATCTGTTAAGGCGTGCCGCGTAAAGCCCCGTTTTCTCTGGTTTTCATCATGGCTGCCGCAGGCCGCCGAGCTGCGCGTGACGTCATTCGTGGCTGCCAGGTCTTTTCCGGCGGTAGAGCCGGGTGTGGCGCGTCGTCGGTTCGCGGACCAGGCCGTGGAGAGCCCGGACGGGCTGGCTCGCCGGAAGTCGTGTTACCGGCGTGGAGAATGGAGTTTCCCGGAGGCGCTGCCAGGTCGCAGCGGTCCACACCCCGAGCTTCCTTCCTAGTCGACTTTCCAAACCAAGAAAAGCCTGTCTTGGAGGCTTTGTCTTGGTGCTGCCTTGTGAATCTAACTAACCGGTCAGGCCTTGCCTCCCACCCCCGCTGTCCTTAGAGCCAAACAGCTTTCTGCGAGTTCTTTGAGACTAAGTGGTAAGGGTCAACCGGGAGGAGTGGAAATGAGAGGCTCTGCAGAGCGAGTAACAGGATTAAAGGATCCGCTGCATCCAGACTGTACACCAAACTTGATTTAAAAGCCGAAAATACGCCCAGAAGGTCATTTTTACCAAACCCATTCCAGCAGATGAAATGAAGAGGCGGTCAATGCCTTCCTCAAACATGACATAAGACCTCAATCTGGAAACATGAGACTCGACGAAGAAAAATAAATTAAGAGTTCATTTGCTTACATACCCTCACTGTTAAGCTCGACCACTTTGCTGAATTTTAACTTTAAAAGGCCTAACTTTTATCTTCCCCCCCTTTGTTGCATTCCCCCCCCCCCCCCCCCCATACAGGCCAAAATCCTCAGTTTGCTTTTCCCGATATCTTGGAATTCTCACTTTTTGTTAAAACTACTAACCACGTAGCCCATGCAGCTGCAAAAAAAAAAAAAAAAAAAAAAAAAAAAAAAAAAAAAAAAAAAAAAAATGGAGGGGGACTACAAAGAAACTTGAGCCCATATTTAAATTGAAGAAACAGAAGGTACAAGGATTAAATGTCATCAAGAGATAGAGGTGTGAAATACGTCAAAGTTTAAAATGTTACATACTTGCATCCTGTAGCATAGCCCGTCTACATTGTAAATAGAAAAAGACGGTTAGAGAAGGAAAAGAGAAGGGCTGATACAAGATATCAGGTCAAAGAAAGGAATCTGAATCCACTGATTGTAGGAATGGAGGTGAGAGACAGACTTAAGGCCATTTGAACGCTAAACTCAAAAGAGGTGCAGGTTTCTGGTTTGAGTGATTGCTGAGAAGAGAACAGCTGACTAGAAAACTGAAGCTATTGAGAGGGAATGAGGGAAGGGGCTACAGCTGAGATACAAAGCGAATAAAATGTAATTAATGTAAAAAAATAAAAATTTAATTAAAAAATAAAACTACATTGCAAAGAAAAAAAAAACTGAAGCTAAGGGGATTTTTTAAGGGAAGGCACAGAGTTTCAATTTGGATCTTTATACTTAAGGTTTTTACATTTCTGTGTACCCAGCAGACGCGAAAATATAAAAAGAACAGATGCATACAGATGAAGGTTGTCTTCTGCATAAAGATCTTTAAAGCAAATGTCAATTTTTTTTTCTGTTTGCAGGGTTGTTTGTTTGGTTGTTTTTTTGTTTTGTTTTAGTTTCTCTGTGCATCATTGGCTGTCCTGAACATGCACATGTGTCTCACAGTAAAGATTTGGTTTAGCTTGGCTCTGTAACACTCTTTTAGTCTCTAATTATGAATCTGAAGCAGGAGGATTGCCAAGAGTGCAAGGTCACCTTGGGCTATGTATTGAGTTCAAGGTCAGACAGAGCTATATATTGAGACCCTCTCTTGGAAAAAAAAAAAGTTTTCTGCAGGTTGTTTATAGTATACTAATATTATATGCCTATAAAATGTAGTACACCGGAGAGATGGCTCAGAGGTTAAAAGCACTGGCCCTTCTCCCAGGGAATCAGAAGTTCAATTCCTAGCACCCACATGGTGGCTCACAACAATCTGTAACTCTAGTCTCAGAGTATCCAACACCTCTCTGCATAAATAGGTAGGTAGATAGACACATGTAGTCTGAGAATGGCTGCCATAAACTCAGATTTGAATGTTTAGTCATCAAGAAGTGGCACTATTTAAAAAAAAAAAATAGGAATAGGAGATGTGGCCTTGTTAGAGGAAGTGTGTTGCTGGGGTTGAGTTTTGATGTTTTAAGGGCCCAAGCCAGGGCCAGTCTCTTCTCTTCCTGCTGCCTTCCAGTCTGGATGTAGAACTCTAGCTACCATATCTGCCTGTATGTTGCCATGTTCCCCACCATGAGGATAATAGACTAAACAGCTGAAACTGTAAGCAAGCTGCAATCAAATGCTTTCTTTTGATTATGGGGTCTCTTCACAGCAATAGAACACTTAAGACACACATACACATCAAATAATGACGTAAAGGATATGTATTAGTACTGACACATGCCTTAAATCCCAACACTTGGGAGGCAAAAGCAGGTGACTCCTCTGAATTCAAGGCTAACCAGAGTTACACCAAACACATACACATACATTTAAAGATTGTTTTTTCAGTGTTCTGCCTGCGCAGGCCAGAAGAGGGCACCCTACCTCATCATAGATGGTTATGAGCCACCATATGGTTGCTGGGAGTTGAACTCCAGACCTTTGGAAGAGCAGCCAGTGCTCTTAAGCTCTGAGCCATCTCTCCTGGCCCAGACTCTGGTAGGGTTAAGCATCACCTGTTCTGATGTTTTCTCCATCCCCTTCCGATTGGTTGAATTAAGAGCTGAGCAACCTATAGCAAAGGCATGAGGAGAATGGACAGGGAACTCTGGGAAAGAAAGAGGCAGGATTCATCTATAAGACAAGGAGGAAATCAGACGGTGAAACTGAGGAGAAGGAAAGAACCATGTGTAGGAACATAGGTTAAACATAGGTTTTAAGAGCGAGGTTGGGAACAGTATAAGCTAAGGCCTAAAACTCCATGTCATTTTTCAGAGCTGTGGGGTGGATAGAAAGTCCTTATGGTTTTACACTCACACACACACAAATGGGTACTAATTTGTTAAAGTTACTAAGTTTACCAGTGAGTAGGGGTACAGCACATTATAGAAATTTTTGTTTTCTTGAAGTTTTCTTTTTCCAACTTTAGCAATTAATTGACCGTGTTTCTAATAAGAAAGCCCGTTTTAGGGCTGCGGAAATGGCTCAGTGGAAACAGCCATTGTGTAAGCCTGGGGACCCGAGATGAGATCCCCAGGAGTCATGTAAAAGCTGGAACAGGATCTGTAGGACCTAACTCAGACCCAGTAAATGGCGAGCACAGATACCGGGTTGTTCTCTCATCTCTACATTCTTGTATGTGCCCTCAAATGTTTAAAAAACTGTACTTGCAGCCACAGCCTCACACACCAGAAGTTTATTTTTAATTTGGCTTTCTGAGACAGACTGTCAATTAACCCATGCTGGTCTCGGACTCACCATAAAGCTGAGGGTGATCCTGAATTGCTGATCCTCCTGCCTCTGTGTCCTCAAGTCCTGAGATTACAGGTCTGTACAATCACAACCATTATGTGAAAAGCCTTATATTAACACCTCTAAATTAGCTCTATTAGCAAGTCTTGCCTCACAAACTGCTCTTCTCTACATCCTCGGACCACCTGCCTGGGAATGGCACCACCTCAAAAGGCTGAGCTCTCTCACACCAATCATTAATCAAGAAAATAGCCTACAGACCAATCTGATAGAGGCATTTTCTCAGCTGATGGTCCTTCTTCCCAGATGATTCTAGCTGTTGACAAAACCCTAACTAGCAAAAGAGGTGTGTTTGGGCCATAAGAGCAGAGTCATCACTTGGGCAACTGGCATAATTCTGGAAGTAGGTTTGTTATCGATAGTCTCCTCTTGCTTACCTGCTCTTTTGCCAGCACCTTACTGTCAATCACAAAGTGGACACCATTAGTATTCTATCATGTGATGTCTAGAAACTGTCGTATGGCATGGCAAAAAGGAAAAGGAAAGATAGCCCCTGCAATTTTGACTAGGAGTCTTACAGAAACATCCAGGACCAATGCAAATACTAGTAATGTGTGTGTTTGTGTGTGATCTTCAAGAAACATTTACCAGGGCTGATGTGATGCTCAGTGGGTAACAGCACTTGCTGTAAGCCTGAAAACCTGGGAGTCCATGGTGGAAGAAAAGAACCAAACCCCAGATGTTGCCCTCTACATGCACACTCAGGCATACACATGGATGTGCACACAGTATGAGAACACTTGCTAGGGATGGCGGCATGTGCTGGCACTCAGGGGTCTGAAGCACAACGGTCACTAGTCCAGGGCAGCACAGTGTACCTAGGGAAGCCGTGTGTCAAAAAGTGAAAGGACTAATGACAAACATTTATTTCAAACCAGAAATATGGAGAACTTTTACATGATTTAATAATAAACAATTAAAGATACAAAAACATTTAGAGGATTCCAAAATTTAAAATTTTGTTTAAATACAAATTCATTTTGTAATATGAAAACATATAATATTAGACCTCTAAACATGATTTTTCTTCTACAAAAATTTCTCTACTAGAAAATTTGCAGAAAAGTTTCTTGTGACGTTAAATGTACATTATTTACAGTTAAAAATAATCTAAGAACTCTACATCAGAAACTTGGCTATATATCTTTGTATGCAACTTCCCCCCCCTTCACCCACCGTAAAAAATTGTTCAAATAAAAAGCAATTATGCTTTTATAATAACTGACTCAGCTATGTTAGCTCAGGACTCAGGTTGCTGTTTTGGCCCTTGGAGCCCTGACTCTCTCAGAACCAGCAGCCTGTCACTTAGCACTCAGCCCTTAAGTTTACTAATAAGCCACAATATATGGTGGTCTAAGAATCAATGAACAAAGAACTTAGAAAGAATTTATGGCAGATCTTACTGATAATAGAATAATTTTGAGAGAAAAACCTTTTTAAGCAGTGTTTTACCCATATTTACATTAGGAAATGATCTGGTAATATTCTGAATAGTTTTAAAGCACAGGTACTAAAATCCTAAAATTTGTAGTAAGAAGGAAACTTGGAGATCATTTTGTCTAGTCCAATGTGTCCCTTCATTTTCCCAAAATGGTAAAGACTCTAGCAGGTGAAGCAACCCGCCCAGGGTCACACACCAAGCTAGAGGAAGTGTCACTCACAGGCCGCCACCTTTATACCACATTCTGAAACTCAGGTTCAGATGTTATCATAGGCACACTTAAATTTTTTTGTTATTGTTTTTTAAAAAAGGTTTCCTGTAGCCCAGGCTGGCTTCAAAACCCACTAGGTAGCTAAGGCTGACCTTGAACTCCTGATTATGCTTCGTCCACCTCCCAAGTGCTAGGATTACAAGTATGCACCAATACACTGGGCTTACATTTCAATTTATGTTATTTTACAAGTTCATAGTATAATACACAGTGCAGTGAACTAAAGTCAAACTAAGTGACATCATAATAATTTTAATAGTATAAAATAAGTTTCTTGTATCTGAAAGAGTCAAGACTTAAATTATACAAGTGGAATGAAAATATTTCCTATATAAATTCCCTGTTACCCTTTATTTAGTTAGTATTTACAAATGATCAGGAAGCTAATACAGTGTCAAGTTAGAAAAGAAACTTTAAAAATACTTATAGAAACTGAAATAAATCAAGAATTTCTTCATCGTATAAAATTCCTGCTCCTTCACAACTGAGTTCTGAAACACTTAGAGAAGAGAAACACTTGAGTTTTCCTCCTCATTTTGCAGAGTCAAAAGTAACTATTTTAACAATGATAAAATTAAGACCTTCTATGGACTTAGGAAAAAAAAATCATGTTATGTTTGGACAACCGAAAAATGAACTCATTAAAAAAAATAACCTATAATTACTTTGGTGTATTAATTAAAAAGAGTTGGGCTCTAGCAGTTCATTCTGTTTGATGGCTACCTGAGAGGGAAACCCGTTTGTACTGGATACCACCATCACATAAGGCTGTGCCTGCTGTTCAGTTTTCTCAGTGTCTTCAATCAAATGATCTTCAACCTTTTTCTCTACCTCTTGTTTAAGAGTCTTTGTTTCCTGAGCTTTGATAACAGAAGTGATCACAGTGGCAGGTGGGTGTGCAACCAGCTGGGAACTTCGAGAAAAGGTCACCACAGGTGTGGCACTGAAGGATGGAGATGAGTCCATACTGACAGCTCCATTGCAAATAGACTGAACATTGCTTGTAAGGACCTGCTGTACATGGGTAGGGCTAAAGACAATTGAAGGGGGAGAGCCCGGCTTCTGTGACTGTAGCATGACGTTTTCTTTCAGTACTGTCATAGGTTGTGATGACGGAATGGCTTGTAAAATAAATTTCTGTGACCCAGCACCTGATGACGGGTCTGTGCTGGCTATAACCGTTGTGAGTGGCACTGTCTGGAGTGTTACTGTATGCAACTGCTGGTTGCCAGGAGACACGACTACTGGAACCTGGGTTGAAGCCTGTATGCTCCTGCTAAGATCAACAAATAGAAGTGAAACGATTAGAAAATGGAACATCTTTTAACACTTCAATACTTCACAGTTATTCTTAAAAGTATGCCAAACATTCCCATTGCTGCTTCTCCTATTTTTATCACAGCATAACTAACATCATGCCAAGCCTTGTTTTAAACATTTTAACAGGCGGGCTGTGGTAGCATCACCCACCTGTAATTACCAAACTCAAGAGGCAGAGGCAGCTCAAAACCAACCCGGCTACAAAGAGAGACTGTCTCAAATGAAATATCTATAAATACTGCCACATTAATACAAGTGAGTAAAGTATCAACACACCAAGAAAGGAATTTATGAATGGGCTACTCTAAAATATGATTTAAAAGCAGATCTGCGAGTTCACCGTGCTCACTCCTAATAAATACCAAACTTCACATAATTGGTTGCAATCTTTATATATATATATATATATATATATATATATATATATATATATATATGAAAAATGCTTGATTAACATTTCAAAAAATCCTAACAGGATTATCTATTTTTTAATGGAGTTACTAGGATTTCAGTAGCTCATACTTAGTATCAGATCAACATCAGGAAAGTCATGACTATAATTCCTACAAGTTTTAAGCCAACTGAGACCAAAATTAATGCCAAACTTTGGTGAAATAAAATACACATATGTTTACCAATTTTAGAGGCCAAAATAATTGTCACAGTAATTTTTAAATACAGGGTCTTTCTATGCTGTCCAGACTACCTCTGAACCTACCCACCAGCAGATAGAATTACATATATGTGCCACCCCACTCAGCATAAAACTACAATTTAACATAAAAGATTCTAGTGTACAATATCCAGTTTATGGAACTAACTGAAATAATGAGCTAACCTCATTATTAAATAAGGTAGATAGTTCATTAGTGATGTTATGACTCAACATAATTGTAAAAGTTCACACTTGTGAAGTTTATGGGGTTGTTAAGTTATTTGTCTGTTGGAGATCTAAGTCTCATAGCCTAGGCTAGCCTTTATCACCAGGTCCTGTGTCTATCTCCCCACTGCTGGGATTACAGGCACACCACTGCACACAGCTTGACATTTATAGTCATGGTTACGGTTATTGTAAGGCAGTTGAAAACTCTATCTTGAGTTCAACTGTCCTCTCTAAATTTGGTAAAGTTGTTTTTGTGAAAGTTATACATCAAATGGCTCAGTGCTAAATTAATCACAAGTAGCAAATTATTAAATATAAATTTTATTGTGCTATATGTGAGCACATATGAAGAGATAAAACAGAGCAAGTGTAACTTCCAAAGGAGTGGGAAGACACAGGATGACTCATCCCTGTGGGATGCTAAATCTCAAGTTCAGACTGCCACTTAAGTCACCGCCAGTCTGCGGGAGAGTACCAGCTTTTTCTTTTTTCTCCTCTCTTTTAATTTTGGAAACAGAGCCTTTGCTGTATAGCTCTGGCTGGCCTAGAACCTATGCTGACTGGGCTGGCTTCACACCTACCGACCCTCCTGAATGTTGAGATTACAGGCATGTCACCACCATGCCCAGCTCTAACAGCTTTCGAGAAGGGCAGTGCTAGAAGAGAGCAAGAGTTAAGTAATAAAGATCTAATAGGTGGGAGGAGTATGACTCATAATAAAGGTGTGGCAGTATTAGGCAAACAGTAAATTGAAAAAAAAAAAAAAAAAAAAACCTTAGGGACCAGGTTTATCCAAAACATACTGTGTCTCCCCTGTGCTTCCCATGTAAGGAAGGTTATCTCTGGGGAAATCAGAGTTTGAGTAGATACCTGACCTGGCCAATTTTTTTCTTTTAAATATATACTTACTGGATGTGTGTGTACGTATGTATGTGTGTGTGTGTGTGTGCGCGCACGCGCACATGAGTGCGTACATGCCACACGGCACACCTGTAGATGTCAGAAAAAACTTGTGTCCAGGTAGTTCTCTCTTTGCACCATACGCGTCCCATAAATCAAAACTTAGATGATTGAAGCAAATGCCTTTACCCGCTGAGCCATTCCACTGGCCATACATTTTCCTTTTTACTTGTTTGCAGACAGGGTCTTACTCTAATAAGGCCACAAAATCATGCCCCTTCTCCCTCAGTGTCCCCAGTGAGGAGTCTGTAGCTGTGCACTACTGAGACAGGAAGGCAGAGGGGCGGCTCAGCAGCCTGGGATCCTCACCTGCATCAGGCTGCACACATTCTGCACGTCAGAGACTGGAATGCGCTGTTCCTTTCTTAGCAAACCTTGGTGACTCCTGCACTGTGGTTAGTTCCCATTCAACTGTGTCTCCGAATATATCCAGATAGGAGTCTTGATCCCCAACCTAAGTGAACTCATTTTAGGTACATCTGCAGTAAGGCAAACTGTGTCCTCCCAATCCCCCTATTTACTACCTTATGTCTATGCACAATGTCATGCAAGACGAAAATGAAATGCATCGTGACATGCATAGTAAGCAAAGCCTCATACAACCCTAGAAATGAACAGCCTTTCCTGGAACCCAAAAGAAAGCCATAACCAGGCATGGTGGTGCACACCTATAATCCCAGTACTCAGGGAGGCAGAGGCAGGAGGATCTCTGTGAGTGCAAGGCCAGCTTGGTCTACAAAGTGAGTCTAGGACAGCCAAGGTTACACAGAGAAACCCTATCTTGAAAACGCAAAACAAATAAACAAACAAAACAAAACAAGAAAGCCCTGAACATTAACTACTGTTCTGGGGCACCCCACCCCAAGTAGTCAGTCCACTACTCCCTTGCAGCATTTCACATGCTCTCTCTTTAAGGAAAAACGTTTTGCTACTTTGTGTGTGTTTTTACCAACACTATCACTATATCCAAGGAGACACCACTTTTAAAAATAAAGTCGCAAGACCTTCCCATACTAAGCGCTTACATAAATCTATAGATGAAAGAGCATTTGTCATTTGTCACAGAAGTCTGTAAATATGTATGACCTTGCCACCTTGTAAAGGCAATGACCCTCGTTTTACATGGGACGCTTTATTGCAGAGGCTGACAACTTCCTTAAGGGAAACAGATAAGGCAGCCGTCTTCAGGGCCTGTGGGCCTAACCATTATAACACACACTTCTTCTTATGTGCTGAGTAACACCAACTAAAGATGAGTATTTACCATTTTAGTTTTTAACTCTCTGACACACACATATACATGAATTTCTGTGATTCCCACCCATTACCCTATCCCATGAATACCATTATATGCTATTTCTTCACTATGTGCTGTCCCCATTCCTTTACCTTCTCTGCAGTATAGCACAGTGCTCTTTGAAATCTGCATATTGCTAATTAGAGCTATCTGTAGTCGTCAATTATTTTGTTCAATTTTAAAAAAAACACAGCCATTTCATGATAAGATTGCTCTCTCAGGAAACATATTACTACCTACAGTATACATATAGTGACTTATGTAAATTATAGAGCAATTCTTGCTATAAACATTTTTGTACATTATAATAGCGCAGGCTTGAAATCACAACACATGGGAAGCAGAGGCGAGAGGATTGCACACCCTGCCTCAGCTGCATATGAAGGCTTCGTCTCAGAACCAACCAGAAACTGGGCATGTGTCGGACTCCTATAATCTCAGCACTCAGGAGAAAGAGGCAGGAGGACCGAACGTTCAAAGCCATCCTCTTACATATCAAATCTGAGGCCATCCTGGGCTACAGGAGATCATGTCAAAGAAAGTGTAGATATTAAAACATAAAGACACCATAAAGTCCCTGCAGCCACAGGAATTTCCAAACATTTTCCCTTATAATTAAATCATCAGTTGTATCCAATTACACTGCATCAGTTTTTTTCACGTTAACTACTTTCTAAAACTCCTAAGTGGCTTGTAACTAAGAGGTATCATATTGCTGACTTATGATTCATCAGAATTTCTGAGAATTTTCTCATTATATAACATTTAGCTTGTGTTGAAAAATGACTCAGGTGTCAAGAAGTGTCATTTAATTGTCACAACCACCTGTACTGTTAAATACCAGTTGGTTTTGTTTTCTAATGAAAAAATATTCCTCATAGTCGATTGAGCTGTACATTTAATAACTGGCAAAGCTGGAGGGCTGAAAAAGGGTTGGCAGACATTCTTCCTACTGTGTTACCTTACTGTTAAGGTAAACCTACAGTGTTAGGTATTTTTCTGGGGATAATTTTAAAGACCTTAAGACAAACTATTAGTGCCTGGATAAGTATTAACAAAAATGGACTGCCCCATTGAGTGCATACATTATAAATTGACTCAAAGGAAAAATTGAGATGTTGATGATAATTCCTGTGATTTACATAAATTTACATAAACCCTTTCCTCCCCATCTTGCTTTTAGTCATGGTGTTTCATCAGAGCAATAGTAACCCAAATTAAAGAGGCAGTGCCTCTCCCAGGTCCAATAAAATTCAACTTCTAACTCATGTTCTAGAAACTCACGGGAGGATAAAGGAATACAACCAGTGCTGGCTGGTGTATGTCAACTTTACACAAGCTACAGTCATCTAAAAGGAGGAAATCCCAACCGAGAAAATTCCTTTCTGAGATCAAACTGTAGAGCATATTCTTAATTAGTGTGGGGTGGGGAGCAGCCTACTGTGGGTGGGGCCATCCCTGGACTGGCGGTCCTGGGTGCTCTAAGAAAGTAGGCTAAGCAAGCTATGAGGAGCAAGCCAGTGAGCAGCACTCCTCCATGGCCTCTGCATCAGTGCCTGCCTCCAGGTTGTCACCTTGTTTGAGTTCCTGTCTGGACTTCCTTCAGTGATGGACTACGAAGTGTAAGTATAAGCAAAATAAAACCTTTCCGCCCCAACCAACTTTGGGCCATGATGTTTCTTCACAGCAATAGTAACTCAAACTAAGACAAACCCTAAGAACTGTAAACATCCATTTAATTTTGGCCTATTATATCTTGCCTTATTCTAAAATCAAATGAGAACAGACCTAAATTTTTCAGAAGCCCAATCTAAAGACAGGATTTTCACACCTGAAGAAGAGAACCTGACTCCTGACCTTCCCACTTGGGTTTCAGAAGTGTTCTGATACAGGGTTTCCCAGGTGATAACATATATTCAGTGAATCCTGAACGTCTCAGTTGTGAAAGATGAGTCAGTGGTTAGGAGCCTGTACTACAGAGGACAGAAATTCAATTCCCAACACACACACCCAGCAACTCACAACTGTCTATAACTCCAGCTCCAAAGGATCTAGTATCTCAGGCATTCACAGGCACCTGAAGTCAGGTACACAAATCCCCCATACATACACACATAATTAAAAATAAAAAAGGAACCACCGATAGAATTGGAGAGCTGATATAACTTTGCTCCTGAAACAATCTGCTGACCCGGAATTCTACCCTCTGAGCCCTGGCCCACTAACAAACAGTGCCTTCTCTGAGGATACCCCATGGGCGACGCGCTCTGGTCACTTTGTTGCCTCACCTAATACTTGGAACTGGAGAATTCGCTGTTTCTTCCTGTATGGTGCTGGGTATTGTGGCTTCTGCTTCTGGGATAGCTTGTACTGGCTGCACTACATGAACAGTCCGGAAGAACTGGGTAGGAAAAGGAGACTGTGAGGGCTGCACTGTCCTCAAAACCTCTGATGACTGTCCACCTTCCATGAGATCTTTGGGTTTTGTAGCTTTAGAATTCCCTGTTTTTAGAATTGTTGTGGGCCCTCCTTTTATTCCCGGACTTGAAGATGCTCTTGATCGGCTTGCTTGATTGCGACTTAATGTGGTTGTAGATGATAAGGGCTGATCTGAAGACTCTATGCTGGAACTCGGATCCTCCTCATCTATGTATATGAGGTCTTTTGGCATTTCTTTAAACTGATACACCAAGCGCTGACCTTCCACTTTTGCAAGAATACCTCTTTGGTAATAGTACCTAGTCAAAGCAGACAATTTCAACAACATCTTATTAGATCATTTAAATATAAGTTAAAATGACATTAAACAAAATCCATTTTTCCTAACCATAAAATTTTAGGGCTGAAGTTTAAAAGTGAAGAAATTTGTTTGTTCGTGGGTTTTTATTTACTTATATATTTTTAAAATTTTTATACACAGATTAAACCCTTATGAGGGACTGAAAAGAGACTTAATAAAGTGCCTGCTTGCTTAAGACCCTCAGCTCCAATCCCAAGGATCCATGCAAGGGCTGGGCCCAGTAGACATATCTGTAGTCCTGTGCTGAGGAGAAAGAGAGGCAGAGCTCTCCGGTTTGCTAACTGAGCAGTCTAGCTGAAGCAATGAGCTCCAGGCTCAGTGAGAGACCTATATCAAAATACAATATGGAGAGTGATCAAGGAAGATACCCAAACACTGACCTCTAACCTCCACCACATGCACCAAGCGCATGCCCACAAACACCACATGCAAGCCCTCATTAACAAGCAAATCTAGGATGAATTTTGAGTAGGGAACTGTGAAGAACAACTAGACCTTTGCTTTCCTTTTTTCTTTCATACATACTCTGTTGCCAATTTGCTAGAATAATCAAATCTACTACAAACCTCAAGAAATCATTTCCCACCACTCTCTGACTTACTAGTATGAAATCATAAATGTTTAAGTTTAACTTAATTATGCAAAATTTAGTGATTCAAATGTTAGTGGTTTTAATAAAATCAAGGACATTTATGACTTTTGTGTATAATGTTCTTTCCCTAAGTTTCTCTCTCCTCAAATGTTGGTCCTTAACTCTACATTAAAACCTTTCCTTAGGGCTGGAGAGATGACTCAGCAGTTAAGAGCACTTGTTCTGAAGCGGACCCAGCACCCACATAATGTCTATAACTCCAATTTCAAGGGATCCAATGCCTTCTTCTGACCTCTGTAGGCATCAGGCGCCCACACAATGCACAGACATATATGCCAACAAAATATTCATATGTATAACAGAAATCTCTAAAAAAAAACTTAGTAAGTTCTAACTCTGAAGAAGAAGAGGACGAGACAGAAGGAGTAAGAAGAAGAAGAGGGATAAAAAGAGGAGAAGGAGAAGAAGCAGCAGCAGCAGCAGCAGCTAAACAAGCCAGGCACAATGATGCACATCCTAGCACTCTCAAGGTAGAAGCAGGTGAATTCTGTGAGTTCAAGGCCAGCATGGTTTACATAGTGCAAGCCTGTTTCAAAAAAGAGGAGGAAAAAGAAGAAAAAGGAAGGAGGAGAAGGGAGAATTCTAATTTAAGATCAACAAGCCATACATCTCCTAATCATTTCTATTTCAAGTCTTTCTCAAACAACACATATTGGGAATAACTAAATGATTTAGTCATAGAGAAGCAAAACAAAAATGGGCTTAAATTTCTTTTATCTAATATCAATATTGAAGTATTCATTATTCTACCATAAGATTCAACATGTTAACATTTTATACATTTTCTGATATTTTTGTAAGTGAAACACAGGTTGAGTATGTAATTTCTGAAATGCTTAGAATCAAGGTTTTGGAGGTGCTTTTGAAATCCTATTAAATATTTGCATAGATCTTACCAGTTGAACATCCAAACTTGGAAATGCCCTCAAATCCAAACTTCCTAACTCTCTTATTGTTGCTTAAAAGCTTCAGAATCTGGATGCTTGACTTCCACACCAGAGTCTGCTATTTGCATGATTATTTGTAGAAGAAAAGTATTTTCCTCAACCAGAGTAAGCTTTAACTTTACAAGCATGCTGGCTTGTGTGAGTACTGTGACCTTCCGTAAATGCTATTCACAGGCTGGGGACACAGCTCAGCGGTAGAGAGTGCTTGTCTAGCATGCACAGGGCCCTGGGTTCATGCCCCCAGCCCACAAAAGCAAGCAGCATGAATACGATCACAGTCTTTAAGTTTTGAAAAGTCACCTGTTTTTCAACACCTGGAAGTGATATGCCGAGCATAACAAAAACTCCGCGTACCTGAGTGCTCTTCCCATGGTTTCATAGTTCATGTCAGGCTTGTTTTTGTGTTTCCCCCACAATTTAGACACAGCTTTAGAATCAACCAGTTTAAAGATGCCCTTTTCTCGCTGTGTCCACTTGATGTATTTAGGGCAGGTAGCTTTGTCCTGAAGCAGAGCCAGTAGAAACTCCCAAAGGTAAATTGTGTTTCCTGAAACAAAATCAATTTCTTTTACAGGAACATACTTGCCTTTACATCAGCGCAAACAGACAAACCACAGGACTAGAAGTCTTAAAAGGTCCATCTTTAGCCACACAAAAATATCACCTCACTCAATTAGCAGATGCAATCCCTCAGTATGAATATGGTCATAATTCTTAGGGTCTAGTAGAAACCTTACTAATCCCATAAATGATGTACCTATAGCAGTCTTGTCAACTGTATTCATGATGACCTAAGGGAAAACACTGAGATCATTTCTGTCTGCTCTTTAAAAACCATCACACAGAGAAAACATCAAAAGTAATAAAAAAAAAAAAAAAACAATCCAACAGTTGTTCTCTGTGTATCAGAAGCAGCAGACCAGTGACGACAGTGTTCTTCAAAATGGAGCGAGAGTTGTGAAAACACTAGAACTCCAACACACCACAGTTAAGGCTCTACAAAGAGAAACTGCAGATTAGCTAAACTGCTGCAAGACTTTGCTGAATGCATTAATGGATTATTTTTACAGAAAAATGAAAATAACTGAAATGGTTCTGTAGGCTACTTTCTTACCAGCCTGGTTACAGAAATCGATGACAGTATCTTATAAGCTCTGGGCAACAGCATGCTCTATCTGGCTACAACAAGAAAAGTCATGAGCTGGTTTTGGTGGTGTGACACCTGTAATCTTAGTAGTTCAAGATCACCCTCAGCTGCTAGGGAGTTCAAGACCCACCCAGACTACAAGGTTTAACACACCCAAGGTAGTCATTCATTGGTTATACATGTCACAGTCTTCTCTTTCACACACATACACACACACACAGACACACACACACACACACACGGAAGCACACACACATGTGCTCCGCACACATACACACACACTTAAAAGTAAGCCAAAAAGAGTAACAAGGGTAGAATACAGAGAAGAATAGAGAGAGGAGAGGGCACTAACCCTGTGCGATAAAGATATCTGAGCACTTACCCTTTCCATCTTTATTTTTCTTCTTCACAGATATATTTGGTGTAGTGGCTGGGGAATCTGGTCGTGGTGGTTTTGTTTTTCTTCCTGAAATCAGAATATCTCTGTATAAGTTTTTGCCCTCAAAATTGAAAGAAAATTTCTTTTCATTAAAAGTTCTACTATCTTATTGTTTATTAATAGTTTCAAGTTCCAAACTTTCATACAGGAGTCATACAAACTAGTCTCTGAAAATGCTACCTAAAAGAAAAATAACTTCAGGAAAAATTAAACATTAAGTAAGTTAGATCACAAATAATTGCTTATATATGAAATTATACTTCAGGGCTAAAGACACAGTTCAACATCAGAGTGATTGCCTAGCATTCACAAGCCTGGAGTTTAATCCCTGGGGATGGGAGTAGAGTTGGTTAAAAAAAAAAAAAAAAAACACAGAAATTACCCTTTGGCTCACCTGTCAAAAGAAAATGAGATTGAATTTCAAATACCGGATTTTCTTTGGAACTGCCACACTAGTGCTTTCTCTTAAAATTTTGAATATTCCTTTTTTAATTAAATTTTTATTTTTTACATGAATTACTTTTTATTCACTTTGTAACCCAGCTGTAACCCCCTCCCTCATTCCCTCCCAATTGTATCCTCCCTCCCTCATCTCCTCCCTGCCCCTCTACAACTCCACTGATAGGAGAGGTCCTCCTCTCCTTCTTTCTGACTCTAGCTTATCAGGTCTCATCATGACTGGCTGCAATGTCCTCCTCTGTGGCCTAGCAAGAATGTTCCTCCTTCCAGGGTGGGGTGGGGTGGTCAAAGAGCCAGCTACTGAGTTCATGTCAGAGACAGACTCTATTCCCCTTAGTAGGAAAGCTACTAGGATACTGAGCTGCCATGGGTTACCTCTGAGCAGGGGTTCTAGGAATGGACCTTGGTTCTTGGTTGAAGTATCAGTCTCACAAAAGACCTCTGTGCCCAGATAATTTGGTTCTGTTGCTCTCCTTGTGGCACTCCTGTCCTCTCCAGGTCTAACTAACTCCTCCTTCTTTCATATGATTCCCTGCACTCTGCCCAAAGTTTGGCTATGAGTCTCAGCATCTGATTTGATACACTGCCAGGGAAAGTCTTTCAGAGGCATTGTGGTAGGCTCCTGTCCTGTTACTTGTTTTCTCCTTCTTCCAATGTCCATCCCATTTGTCTTTCTAAGTGAGGATTGATCATCTTACCCAGGATCCTCCTTCTTATTTAGCTTCTTTAGGTGTACAGATTTTAGTATGTTTATCCTATATTATAAGTCTACTACCCACTTATAAGTGAGTATATACCATGTATGTCTTTCTGCTTCTGGGATAGCTCACTCAGGATGATCTTTTCTAGATCCCACTATTTGCCTGCAAATGTCATGATTCCATTGTGTAAATGTACCACAATTTCTGTATCCATTCCTCTGTTGAGAGACATCTGGGACATTCTTTTTTTTCTCAAAACAGATGAACAGGCTGGAGAGATGGCTCAGTTATTAAGAGTACTCACTGCTCCTGCAGAGCACTGGGGTTCTCTTCCCAGCACCCACATGACACCTATGTGAGCAGCCACACACGCATGTGCACACACACATAATTAAATGAATAAAAGATAAAATCTTGTAGGATATAAATAAAATAATAAAACAAAGAATAATGAAAGAAAAGGAAGGCCACAAACTATGCCCTCAAAGCAAAGCTAACCATACCCACAGACCTTTTTTGTCTTATTGGGTTGAAGAGAAGGACAGAAGTGTTGGATAAAAGAATTCCGATAAACTGCTGTAATCCTAGCACCTAGGGAGGCAGAAGCAGGCAGATCTCTGTGAGTTTGAGGCCAGCCTGGTCTACAAAGCGAGTCCAGGACAGGCAAGGTACACAGAGAAACCATGTCTCGAAAAAACAAAGTAATAATAACAACATTAAGAATTGAATTTAGATACAAACTTGAGGCTTTAATAATTGAAAAATCTGGGCTGGCAAGTTGGCTCATTTGCCACCAAGCTTGCCAACCTGAGTTACAGCCCATGGTCACACATGAAAAAAGGAGAGAATAAACTCCATTCAAGTTGTTCTCTGACCTCCACACATGCACCATGGCACATAGACACCTACATACATGTACATACATACATACATACATACATTCACACACACATGCTCTCTCGTGCCTCTCGATCATACACATTTGAACATAAATGTAATAAATGACAAAGAGCTGGAAAATCTTTCAGATCAAGTGAGATAGATCAACTATTTTAAGTGCCTAAGATATTTTAATGACTTATATTAAGAACTACCTTAATTTGTTTTGCGTTTCATGTTTTTCTTACATATCTTAACTGGTGGAGAAACACCCTCTAATAAAAAGTTTATCTGGATTCCACATCAGTACTGACTGTATGACCTAAGTAAGTTAGACACTCACCTTTCTTTCTTTTAGGCTGTTCTGGGGAGGAGGCTCCTGGGAAGTCTGTATTTGTCTCTTGCACTTGCTGAGTTTCCATCACTTCAGGAATACCATCTAATGTGACAGACACATGGGTGATGGGGGCAGCAATGTCATCTTCAGAGGAACTAAATATATTATTATCTAATGGAAATGAAATAAATTATAATCAGTTGTATATTATAAACAAAATCATTTACTGTTTCTATAAACTCTCACTTTGTATTTCCTCTGCCATAAATCAAGGATCCTAAAGCACACCAGGCATGGCTTCCTACCACAGTCTATCTTACCTTCCTTCCCCTCGTCTGCTCTCTGAAACTCAGTTTCTGTCATTAGACTGCCATACAAATGCTTTGTTCTCTAAAAACAATAAAAATCATAGCAAAAAAAAAAAATCTCCCTAAAATTTACCGACAAAAAAAACAGAACAAATAACCCAAACTGTACAGCATGCCCCTCAACATCTCCACAATCTAAACCAAACCTCCCTTTCCACCTCCTTTCCCACTCACATGAAACTTCACACTTTTGCCATAAGAACGAAAACATCTCTCAAAAAATATTTTACAACTTAGAGTCCAGATATATTCCTTCTCAGTTGAATATTCACTCCTTTCTCTTCTAGCTAATGAAGGGTGATTGCAATTTGGTTAAAACATTCTCTCCTTAAAGCTAGAGTGCCACTGCCTCCAGAACACTATGCTATCACTTCTGTGGTCTTTGTTTCTGGCTTTTATACTTATTTACACACATGAATGACTTAGAAATTAAGCTGCAAGATTGAAGAAAGAAGTAACAGGTATTCGTTTTCTACTACGCCATTGCCTAACATGCTGCTGTGTGCAGCACGTTCAGTAAGTACCTTGAAGTGACTTAGTAACTATGCTTTTAAGTTTCAGTTCCCCCTTGTCAGAAAGGCCCAAAGGAGAAGTACATTAAAAAAATAAGTTAATAACCTAGCAATGAATTTTATACAACAAATGGTTAGGAAATTTGTCAATAAGTTTTTGCCTCTACTACAATTAGAGTAGAGATGGCTATACACTAGTCTGAGTTCAAAACCGATGTGAGGGTGAAAGGATGGCTCAGCAATTAGGAGCAGTCTGTGCTCTTCCAGAAGAGCAGGGGTCAGTTTCTAGCACCCACATCATGACTCACAACCTGCTACTGCCCATTTCGAGGATGGGAAGCTCCCTCTCTGGCCTCTCCTGACGCTACACTCATGCACTGCACGTGCAGACTTGCAGGCAAAACACTGATGCACATAAAGTTTTTAAAAATGAAATAATCCCAGAACTCAGGAGGCAGAGGCAGAAGGATCTCTGTGAGTTCTAGGCCAGCCTGCTCTACAAAGCGAGTCCAGGAGAGCCTGGACTACACAGAGAAACCCTGTCTTGAAAAACAGAAAACAAACAAAACAAAACAACAACAAAAACAGGTGAAGAGTTTGAAAGTGTGATGGGGCACATTCTATGAAACTCCCAAATAAATAATAAAAATACTATGTCCGGGAAAAAAACAACTTTGCATAATCTGTATTTCATAAAGGACAAATTACTTTTTTATTCTAAAAAGTTCATCAATTTTAAATCAGTTAAGCAGCACTTTTAACAAAGGTACTACACCTGGAATTTGTCTCTTACAATGTGCTCGGGACCTACAGAAGAAAAGAAGAAAGACAGCCTCTTCTGTTCCCTTGATGTTTACTATCTAATGGAGATGGCAAGAACAGCTTTGCAATATATACAGACATGAGCAATCTTTAGCACTCACTTATTCGTTTGTCATCCAGTATAGGACTGGGAGAATCCATATTGAGGAGTGCCTCAGCAGCCTCAATGGTCTCGATTGTTTCATCTCCATTATGACAAGAAGCCTCAACTACAATAAAGAAAAACATAGTATTAGCTACTTTGAAATAGGATATGCTGCTCTGAAATTTGTTCACAGTGTTCATCTCCTGAATCAGGATATACCACTTAACATTGAGCTTGTAGCTTGTATGCATATAAACTATAAAATACAGAACATATGCCATAATGCCAAATCTGAGGCGGGTGTATCAAAGGTCTCACACTATGCTAGCTAGTTTTTTTGTTTTGTTTATTTACTTTATTATTTTTATTTGTATGCATGTGGGTATATAGGTCTGTATATATGTATGTATTGACTTTTGTCAATTTGACAAAGGCTTGAGTCATCTAGGAAGAAGAAACCTCAATTAAAAAAATGTTCCCATCAGATTAGCCTGGACTGATTGAGTGCCTAGCCCACTATGGGTGGTACCACCTATAAGAAAGCAGTGCGGGTGAGGGTCTAGAGAGATGGTTCACCTGTATGGCAGCTCACAGCCACCCTTAACTCGAGCTCCAGGTGGCCAACAGCATCTTCTGTCCTCCTCAGGCACCTGGAGGCATGTGGTGCACTCTTACGTTATATGGAGACAAATACGTTTGCACATAAAATAAAGAATAAATTTGTCTAAAAAGGCAGGCTGAACAAACCATGAGCAAGCCAGTGAGCAGCATTCCTCCATGGCCTCTGCTTCAGTCCCTGCCTCTAGGTTCTGCCTTGAGTTCCTGCCCTGACCTCCCTAAATGATGGAGTGTGGTGTGGAAGTGTAAGGCAAATAAACCCTTTTTTTTTCCAAGCTGTTTTGGGCACCGTTCCAAGCTGTTTTGGGCATGGTGCCTGCCACAGCAATGAAGAAGCAAACTGAGACATACACTGTAGCTTAGGCTAGATTCCCTCTTGCAGAAATACTGCTGCCTCACCCTCCCAAGTGCCAGATGTCCGCCACCAGATAACTGCCTTTTTATTTTGTTTTGTTTCGAGGACAGGGTTTAAAATTATTACCATCTTGTATATGCCTATATATGCGTGATATGTATATGGACCACCCCACAAGGTGTGTATGGAGGTCAGAAGACACGTTTATGGAGTTATTTCTTTCTTTCCCCCATTACATAGGTTCTGAGGGTTGAACGTAGGTTGTTATGCCTTCACAGTAAGAGCCTTCTCACCAGCCCCTCTTTGGCTGTTAGTGACTTCGTCTATGTTATATAGCCCTGGATGGCCCAAAACAAATGACGTAAGACCAGACTGGCTTCAGACGTACAGTGATCCTCCTGCTTCTCCCTTTTGAGTTGTGAGATCACAGGCAGTTGCCACCATAAAGTAATTAATCATTACAGGAGTAGAATTTTGAACAAAATCAATTTTATAAGACATAATATAACAAAGCCCTCTGTGTTCATTCACAGCTTCAAACACAATAAACAAGCAGTTAGTCTTTCACCTGTGCCCTCCCATCAGCCCCACGCCCTTACTTCCTACAAGAGATCACTGTGAAGGAATCCAAGGCTCCCTTTTTATTAATTTGTTCAGTTGTTGTTTTGTTCATTATTTTTGTACTCTTTTACATTTATCTATCTGTATGATGTACATTCATGCTATAAACATAGAGGTCAGAGGGCAAGCTGAAGGAGTTGGCTCTTTCTGGCCACCATGTGGGTCCCTGGGATCAAACTCAAGTCACCAGGCATTTATCACCAAGTGCCTTTACTCACTGAGCTGTTTTCACCAGCTCTTTTTTTTTTTTTTTTTTTTTTTCAGTTTTAATAGAAGACCTTACTATAGCCCATGCTGGCTTCAAACTCACTAGGTAGCTGAGGCTGGCCTAGAATAGCTGATCCTTCTGTCTCTGCCTCCCATGTCTTAGAGCTACAAATCTGGGCCTGCTCCTCTGTATTTTATCTGTAAGCATTTTAGCTCATATTTCTAAAGGATAAGGAGTCTAACACAATGATATTATCATGTATTAAAAATTAACATTAAATAATTATATAATTCCATTAGCATCCCTCAAAATTCCTTTCAGGTGGTGATAGAGCACAGAGGGAGCGCACTCTCTTACACACACAAGGCCCTGGATTCCATCCCCAGCACCAGGAACAACCAGTACTACAACCAAAACAAACAACAGACTCCACAGAAGGTGTGTAGACAGGGTTTTAAAGAGGCCAGCTAAAATGAGGTCGTCACAGTAGACTAAATCATTATTCTGTCAACCCTCTAGGAAATCTGGACTTGGCCAGTGGTCAGAAAGACTCTGTGAAGACAGGGGAGAAGACAGTCATCAGCAAGCATGGGAGAAAGACACCAGTAGGCCAGAACTTTAACCCACAAGGAAAAGTTTTTCTGTCAGCTAGTTGATGGTAGACTGTGTCACACTAGCCCCGGCAAACAAGGCAGTGCTGCTCTGCCCATGTCATTCCCGGCCTTCCCCACAGCTTCTCACGGGCTTAGCACCGCCTTAGCACCGCCTTGCCCTCTCTTCCCCTTCTCATCACATGGCTTAGCTAAGCACAAGGGATCTAAAGGCTTGACTGGTGAGAAGAGAAAGGAAGGGAGAAGACACAAGCTACAAATATTCTGGCTTTAAGGTCTGGCTTGCTTTCTGAACCGAGGACTTTTCTGTTTTCTAGGAAGGCACCTGTCTGTATCTTGTCATTTGCTGTCTTCAGCTCTAAATGCAAAGGAATAATTCTCTAAAGGAAACAGTTCCTTTTTCTAAAGATCCTTGGCCTGCTTTCCTACTTTCAATTTCTTCTTTGGGGATCAATGTTCTTTATTGATGACTAAGCCCAGGAATAAGCACCCTTCCAGAAGACATTGGTTTCCAACTAACACTGAATAGAGCTCAACTCTAAGGCTTGAAGTTACATAGGAATACACTGCAAAACCTGTCAGTCTAGTTAAGTCACAGCAGACACATAACGGCAGCAGTCATCACAAAATAATTCTGAGCACAGCCAGCAATAAACACAAACTCGAATCTGACCAACCCTGCTTGCTTACTGGTAATGAAGAAGCAAGTTTAACCACCAAAAAACATTCATCAATTTGTTCTAACCAAGAAGAAAAAGTGAATCTAAACACTGGAAGAACAGCTCAGTCAGTGATTAAGCTCAGGCCTAGCATGCTTGAGGTAACCATAACCACGGTGTTCACTAAGAAAATAGCATGGAAATTAGGTGTTACCTCAATAGGAATGCAATCTTAGGCACAGTATTCAATTTAACCTCCCTAAACGTCTGCTTTGTTTAAATTACTATCAGAATTAAATGATAGATATTTTGACAAACTTAAAACAATGGATTAAGTTAATAATGCTATTTGTGTACTATTTGGATAAGATATGCGTTAACATATAAATGTTCTATACAGCTAAAATTGAGGGACATTCTACAGAACATATACCTAGTATACCTCCAATGTATGAAGGTTATGACAGAGGGACAGTGACAAACTGCTGAGTCTAAGTAATGAGAGAATGGCACATAGCAGTACAGATAGGTATCCTAGACAGAAGGCAATATGGGCAACTGGTAAAATGTTAAGTAGGACTTGGGGTTGGTTAATGATATTACAACCAATGATCATTTCCTCTTCTTAACAAATGTATACTACTTAGGTAAGATGATAGCAGGAGGATTAAGATAAGGAATACTTGCAAGGACAGTAAGGCTAAACTGTGACTGCCAGTAATTTTTAGAGAGCTCTTCTGACTATTCATAATTGGACGTGCATATAATTGAAACCAGATGCATCACAGGGTGGGGAATGCATAATAGAAGAAAACAATGATATAACCTAATCTATCAATGAAAATAGCCACACAAACTATACATTTCAGTAGCCACCCCTTCCTCCTGCTAAGCGGCATTTAAAAAAGACCCTAAGTTTTGTCCTGGGGCCCTTGAATAATCTCATGCTTTGGACCACTGTCAATCTTGATTCTCTGTTATTGCTCTGCTTTTAATAAAGTTACCTTATTTCTTTTGCAAATCTGTGTGAAACGTTATTTTCAAATCTTTGGGTAAAAGATCAAAAACCTAGATACATCTGGCCCAGATCCTGACCACCTATAATAGAAACCCACACACCTGTAAGGGTGATGTCATCATCGTCGTCTACGATTTCTTCTTCAGCAACATCCAGTGAACTCTCAGTAATCATGTCATTAGGCTCTTCCACACAGGCTAGACCAGCATAACTATTGAGAATATCAGCACCAGGAACATGTTCCACAATGACAGCAGGAAATATAGCAGGGTCGCCAAGCTGCAGGGGTGGAAGGGGAAGAGAAAAGTTTTGCTTTTGCTGGATACAATCCAAAAAGATTTTAGTTACTTTTTCAAAAAACACTTGACACTCAGCTTTATTTGTTTGTATTTTCTTAAGTGAGGACTTTACCCAGGGACTAATGTAAGCTAGGCAAAAATTCAACCACTGATCTACACCAAACCCTTTTTACAGTTTACAGCAATTTAGTCCCTATATCATCGTGTGTGTGTGTGTGTGTGTGTGTGTGTGTGTGTGTGTGTGTGTGTG